AATATATCCACATGACAGAATAGTGTTTTGTAAATAGAAAAAGACTGCAGATAACTAACTAATGGCATGGGCAGGCAAGCTCACAATTTAATAACAGTAGGAATACATAAGCCATTTTTAAAAATCTCTTCCAAGTACTAACTGCTGAGTGGATATTGTGGATCCGGTACAAATGCTAAAATATTTAGCAAGAGATATTCCCTACATGTATAAGGAAACAAAAGAGTAAGTGAAACATATACCAAGCATAATAAGTGCCTTAATGAAAATAAAATGGTGATCTAATGGAGTAAAAGGGTGGACTAAAGTACTTTCAGATCAGTAGTTAAGGACAATCCCTTGAAAATAAATGCCATTTAAAGTGAATGACTTAGAGGAACCAGCCCTGCAAATACACGGGAGAAAACTATGTCTAGTAAAAGGACATAGTTAAACCTGAAGGTAAGGGTGAGCTTTTTGTGCTGAGAAACTCACTGTTTTCTGCACCACAGTAAGGAGATGAAGCTGGATGTAGGCAGAATCCATCAGATAGGGCCTTCAAGAACTCTAGGTGGGCTTTAAGCACTTACATTAGATGTTCTGTAAGGGCACTTGGAAACTTTAAACCAAAGGAGACAATCATATTATACTGTTTAAAATGACCGTTATGATTAGATACCCAGGGAGAAATGGCCAAAGAGTACAATGGTAGATACAAATAAACTAGCTGAGAGGTAGGGCAAGAGTGGCAGCAGCTGAGAAGGCAGACAAAAAATGATGTGGTCTGATTTTAGGGTAAGAGTGACAGAAGTGGTAAGACCTAGTTGAGTTGAGGATATATTTTGCATGTAGACCAGTTGTGGACAAGTGAGCTGAAATATTAAGGAACAGTGACTCTGGCTTCTGGTTGTACAAGAGCATGAGTTCTTTACTGAAATAAAAGAATAATGGATCAGAACTAGGTAATGTTTTGTGTATACAAAAAGTTCAAATCAAGTATTTAACTAGGGAGAATTGAGAAGTGGGTCAAGTAGAAACAATACGTTCATAAGCAAATCCACAAGTCTGGAGCAGAGGGGAGAACTTTAGTCAAGAGGACACATATCTTCATATTCTTTCTTACTCATAGCTCAACTTGATGTAACCAGGACTTCATTTCTACTCCACTAAAATTGTTCTTACTAAAATTATTATTTTCTTCCTGCTGGTCATATTCAGCAGATAGTTTTGAATATTTTGAAACCCAGATAATTTTGCCTTGGGTTGTTTTCTTTTTTTTAATTTTCCAAGTCAGGGTCTCTGTGTAATAACCCTGGTTGTCCTAGAACTCACTGTAGATCAAGCTGGCCTTGAATTCAGAGGTCCACCTGCCTCTGCCTGGCAAAGTTTTTTGTTTTGTTTTTGTTTTTGTTTGTTTGTTAATTTGAGACATGGGATCTCTGTATAACTTTGACTGTCCTGGAACTTGTTCTATTGACTAAGCTAGCCTTGAACTCACAGATATCTGCCTGCTTCTGCCTCCTAAGTGCTGGGATTAAAAATACATGCCTCCACTACCCAGCTCTTCTGACATTTTATTTTATTTTTTTTTAAAGTGGAACCACTCCACCACCAATTTTTTTAATTATTTATTTATTATGTATACAATATTCTGCCTGTGTGTATGTCTGCAGCCAGAAGAGGGCACCAGACCTCTTTACAGATGGTTGTGAGCCACCATGTGGTTGCCGGGAATTGAACTCAGGAACTTTGGAAGAGCAGGCAATGCTCTTAACCACTGAGCCATCTCTCCAGCCCTCTTCTGACATTTTATTTTATTTATTATTTTTTTTAGTGACAAATTTTTAGCCCAAAGTACACATTTATACAGGAGATAATGTAGGGGTCACCATGACTTATGGTCACATCATATTTATCATTTTTTACATTGACTTTCTTTAGAAGCATATTTTATTTTATTTTTTAATTCATTTATTTCTTTATTAATTAATTAAAGATTTCTGTCTCTTCCCCACCACCGCCTCCCATTTCTTTCCCCCTCCCCCAATCAAGTCCCCCTCCCTCATCAGCCCAAAGAGCAATCAGGGTTCCCTGCCCTGTGGGAAGTCCAAGGACCACCCACCTCCATCCAGGTCTAGTAAGGTGAGCATCCAAACTGCCTAGGCTCCCACAAAGCCAATTACGTGCAGTAGGATCAAAAACCCATTGCCATTGTTCTTGAGTTCTCAGTAGTCCTCCTTGTCCGCTATGTTCAGCGAGACCGGTTTTATCCCGGTTTTTTTCAGACCCAGGCCAGCTGGCCTTGGTGAGTTCCCGATAGAACATCCCCATTTTCTTGCAAGGTCCAAATCAGGACCGCGAGGGGTGCACCCACACACCAAGACAATGGGGATGTTTTCAACTGCTTTATTCTTTCTACTTGGATGGTCAAACTTGAAACAGGGTTCCTTATTGGACATCCTTCAGTACAGCATTCCTGGTGTACCTGTAATTCCTGGTGTGCCTTTCAGACAAAGCAAATAGTCTTAGACTGGCATTATGTTTAACCTCTTGTTTCATACACTACATCTGAGCCTTGCAAAATCTTTCAAAGGTGTTTAAAATTGGATCACTTCTTACCAAGTCCAGTGTGCCCATCCCCACCCAGGCCATATCCCCACCCAGGTTATCTTAACCTCACTTAATTACAAACAAGCTTCCAATTAGCCTCTTTGTTTTGACCCTGTTCCCATAATGCTTTTGTTTTAGAGGTGTTTTTTTCCCCAGTGCTAGGAATCAAGCCCAATAAACATTACTCCTGTTAGATAAGGACTCTACCACTGAACTACAGAGCTCCACCCCTCGACCCCATAAAAGTAATCTTAACCCAGCAGCCAGAGGAAGTGTTTTAAGAGAAATCATAGCATGTCAGTGCTCCGCTCAGAACTATATCTTTATCTCTTCCCTCTAAGTAAAAAGTCAGGGTTTTAAAATGGCTCCAAAGCCATATCCGATTTATTACTGAACTTTTAATTTCTGATTTCTCCTTTTGTAGTCTTTAGTTGTCTTGATGTTCCTGGTATGTTAGTAGTAACCTGTTTATACAGAGTCTTCTCACTGCTGGTTTTCCACCTTCTGTGCTTTATATCCACATGACTGGTTTCTTTTTCTATAGCTAAGGTAGGAACCATTTTATATTTTACATGTTCACTCATGTCTCTCTCACTATGGTAAATGTCCCTATCGGGGTCTGAAAATTCAAGAACCAGATTCCTAACAGCCCACCTTCCCTTAAGAGTGTTTTTCTTTCCCCAATGAGATTCCCTTGGAGAATACTAATTTTTCATTTGCAAGTGGATATCAATTGGCACTAAGTTCTGTTGGGACCTGGTGGGGGGCTGTCTACTTCTGTCTGCTCTAGGACCCCATCTGGTACAGACCCATGCATACCTTGTATTTGCTGCCACAGTCTCTGTTAGTTCATATGTAAGTCAGTCCTATTTTGTTTAGAAGGCCTTGTTTCTTTGGTGTCCAGCATTTTGTATGGCTCTTACATGCTTTCTGCCTCCTCTTCTGTGGGACTCTCTAAGCACTAGACAGATTTGATGGAGACACCAAGTATTCCAAAATCTGTCACTCTGAATAATATCTGGCTGTGGGTCTTTGTATTTGTTCCCATCCACAGTAGGAAGAAGCTTCTCTGATGGTGGCTAGGCAAGGCACTGATTAATGATTATAGCAGAATATTATTGGCAGACATTTTACTGCTACATTCCTCTAGTAGTATTTGGTTTTCCCCTAGGTCATCGGCCTATCTATTCTCAGGTTCTTGGTTACCCAAGCAATGTGAGGTATAGGTTCCATCTCATGGAGAGGTACTACATTTTACTTCTTAGATCATAATGGACTACAATAATAATATGCCTATGTTGATTACCTGTGAATAAAGCAATAGCACTATTCTGGAAGGTGAAACTTATTATAAGCATCATAGGGATTATAATTAAATTTAAATATACATCTACATCCAGTAATCAATATCCAGGTATTTGTCTTATAGAAACATTTGGAAAGTGTGTAAAGTTATATATACTAGGAGAGTTTTTAAATTGCTGTTTATTTTATTGAAAAATTAGGATCTCACTCTTGAATTTCTGTAGTTTCTATAATATTTCACTTTGTTGTGTTTTCTGAACTATTTATTTAATGCTTTTTTTCTTTAAATTAATTTTATTTTCTTTAACTGTACCTGATCTGATTGTTATACCAGGAAAAGGCTGGATTCCTGTTACACAGCACTTTCATATGCCTATTCAGTAAAATCATATAGAAACTACCTAATGTCTATGTAACATCTAGAATCATTTTATGTATGACTAATAATTCTATTACTACAGTGACCTTTGTATGATGCAACCCTTAGGAAACAATGATGTAGATAAGTATGCTTTTAACTTAAAGTGATATTTTTAGCATGAAAGAAAACAAGATTTGAAACTATATTCTATGTGTTTGCTTTGGTTATAAACTATACAGTAATAAATGTATTTATACAGTAATAAATGTATTTATATATTAAGATCATTTGTACTAAAATAATAACAATGAAAAGAGCATCATAGGAACAATTTTACCTTTTAGTTTCTTTCTATTGTATTTTTTAGGCAAAGTTTCACTGTGTAGCACTGGCTTGCCTGGAACTTGCTATGTAGACAAGGCTAGTCTCAAACTCAGAATTAGCTTTCCTCTGCATCCCAAATGCTAGGATTAAAAGCATGTGCCATGTCCAGCATTTTCTAATTTCTTAAACTATTGATACATGTGTATTTTCTAATCATGAGATTAAAAGAGAATAGGATTGTAAATTATTATTTAGCTACTATAATAATTAGCTGCCAAAAGGCTAATTACAACCTCTTATAGATTATATTTAATTTAGTAGCATTTAATTTTGAAAAATAGCTGTACTTTTGCTCTTTGCCTTCACCAGTGTCTTGGTTTGCTATTTTTCTTCAACACTATTTTACTTCTGCTTAAAACAGGCCATTCAGAAAGGCAATACAGAAGTTGCAAGAATTCATGCTGAAAATGCAATCCGTCAGAAAAACCAGGCAATCAATTTCTTGAGAATGAGTGCTAGGGTTGATGCTGTGGCAGCCAGAGTTCAAACTGCAGTAACAATGGGCAAGGTAAGACTTGACTGGCATTTAATGAGAGTAGGAAGAGTTACAAAAATAGCAAATTTGAGTATTGCAAGGTATTATATGGTATTAATAAAGGACTTCATGGAAAATTAGACTTAGTAAGGAGAAAGATTTTGGCAGTGGACTCCAACTGTTTTATTTGCTGTCTACTAAGAAATATCAATAATCTAAAATAGACAGTACCTAGACCTTGACACAGAACGTGATTTTACTGTTAAAGACAGTAATAAACAAGTTTCATAAGTTAACATATAGATAATATATTTAAAAGTTTATAAAATTTTCATGTTACTAAATCAGTTTTATTTTCTAAATAGGTGACAAAATCCATGGCAGGTGTAGTTAAGTCTATGGATGCTACATTGAGGAGTATGAACCTTGAAAAGGTAAAAACAAACAATTATCATTATTACTTGATGTTCAGATAGCATCTTTTCAGGGTACATTTTTCTTATGATCATATCTTTATAGATTTCTGCTTTAATGGACAAATTTGAACATCAATTTGAAACATTGGATGTTCAAACACAACAAATGGAAGATACAATGAGTAGCACTACAACCCTAACAACACCACAGGTAAGAATCATTTCTTTACTTAAAATGGTTTCTTAAAATGACTTGATCTGGCCATAGTGACACACACATGCTTTTAATCCAAGCACTCAGCTTCCTAGTGCTTGGGAGCTGAAGGAAGATTTCTATGAAGTCAAGACTAACCTGTCTATGGAGTAAATTCCAGGTCAGCCTGAGTTACATAGTGGGAACCTGTCTCAAAGCAACAAATGACTTGCTTTCAAAATGTAATGGCTTTATGAATATAAATCTCTTACCTTGTGTGAGTAGAGAGGGAAGGAAGCAGGCAGGCAGCTTGCTACTGCTCTGCCCAAAGATTCTGGGGGAATGTTTGAGAGGATAATGTTACCTAGCACCTAGTGGACTTTGGAATTCTAATTATTTTATTGGGTCACACATGTAGAATCTAGAGCCTGTTACTACATGTTTCCTAATGCTCTTATTAATAACATTAAACTTTAAAAGTACATAGTATTTGGATAGTATGATATTGCTACATGAATTGTTTAATGTTTAAATCAATGTCCACACACACACATATATATAGATATATAGATAGATAGATGATAGATAGATAGATAGATAGATAGATAGATAGATAGATAGATAGATAGATGATAGATAGATGATAGATAGATAGATGATAGATAGATACAAACATTGATATATTAATGATCTAAAAATTGGAAAACCCTTTTAGTGTTTAGAAGTAAACAATACATTACTGTTGCTATAGTTATTCCTTTGTGCTATAGCACACCAGAAATTCTTGCTCCAGCCTTACTGTTATTTAATACTAATTTATCAACCTTTTCTGTAACCCAGGCTTCGTTAGGGGTGGGTGATCATGTCCACTTTGTCCTCTCAGTGATGGATTCATATCTGACTGGGACTTTGTATAGATCCTGTCCATGCTGCCACAACCTCTGTGAGATCATATGTGTTTGTCAGTTGGTGTATCTTGAAGTCACTGTTTCCTTGGTGTCCTCCCTCCCCTGTGGCTCTCACAGCCTCTCTGCCTCCTCTTCAACATATTCCTTGAGCCCTGAGTGGAGAGGTTTGATAAAGACATCCCTTTTAGGACTGTGTATTCCAAGGCTTCTTACTCTGTGCACATTGTCCAGTTGTGAGTTCTTTATTTGTTCCCATCTACTGCAGATAGAAGTTTCTGTGATGATGACTGAGTAAGACAGATATATATGTATAGCAGAATGTCATTAGCTATTGCAAGGGGCCACTTGTTTGTCCCAGCTGCCCAGAGCCAAAATGACCACACAGAACCTGTATTAATTAAATCACTGCTTGACCCATTAACCCTAACTTCTTATTGGCTAACTTCTACATCTTAACCCATCTCAATCTGTGCATCACCACAAGGTAGTAGCCTACCAGCAAAGTTTCAGCACATCTATCTCTGGTGGCAGAAGGTCCGTGGTGTCTCTCAACTCTACCCTTCTTCCTCCCAGCACTCAGTTCTGTCTTTCCTGCCTACCTAAGTTCTTCCCTATCAACAGGCCAAGGCAGTTTCTTTATTCATTAATGGTAATCTCAGCACACAGAGGAGACTCCCAGTTCACCTCCCCCTTTCTGTTTGAATAAAAAGGAAGGCTTTAACATTAACATAGTAAAATTACATATAACAAAACAGGTATCAAGGAAGAATTACAGTTATTTACAATATTTATATCTACGTTATCTTTTATCCTAACTAAGGAAAACTATATCTATTCTTCAACACCATCAAAGACTCCAGAGGGATATAATATTACCTAAGTAAACAGGAAGTGCATTGTAAGCAACTTCTAAAACTCTAGAAATGACAGAGACATCTCGCTGCCTGGACAGTCATACAAATTTGTTTTGTACTGTTGGGACATCCATCTTCAGCCTACAGGTCCATAGTATCCAGAAGACTTTTCCATGAAGCAGGAAATTTCAAAGACAGTTCAGTCACTTTTTTCTGTATCCTGCAGAATGGCAGACTTTCATGAATTTTTTGAGAGTGTTCATGGCAACCTTTTGGGGGGTTTTAAGAGCTTTTAAGAGCTTTTAAAATGGTAAGCAGCTTGGTTTCGGCTGCTCTGGATGCTGGCTCTGCCTCTCTCCACTTTCAACATGGTAGAGGTACCCTTACTGCCAGGTCTTGTAGGAGCCAACACTCAGCACTTTAACTCTGAGAATGAGCGTGCAACACATAAACACTTTTTTATCTGAGTAATAGCTAAATATGTCCTGCAGTGCAGTGCGCGGACTGGAAACATCTCTGTATGGTGACAGGAAGCCACCATGCCCTCCTGCCTGTGCAAGCCTAGTAGACCTGGTCCCACCACCTGCCCAGGCAGGGTATGGTCTCAGCTACTTTCCTCCTGACCCCAACACAAATACCCAGGCCCACAAATGCCATTGAAATACTTCATAGGTGGCGGCACAGCCCAGGAAACCTCTTTTTAAAACCATGCAGCATATTGCTATGTTCCTTTAGGAGAATAATAGTATTTCATTTTCCCCTATATCCACGGCCTATCTAGTCCCAAGTTCTTGGCCACCTGAGTAGTGTCAGACATAGGTTCCAGCAAGAGTGGGCCTTAAATCCAATAAGATAATGATTGGTTGCTAACACAACTTTTGTGACACTATTGTACCAGTATTTCATGTAGGTAGAATGTCATTGTAGGTCAAAAAGTTTATAGCTGGGTTGGTGTTTACCTTTTTCCTCTGGTAGCATGCAGAGTACCTGTCAGTAAAGTATCATGAACACTAGTCAGTAAGGATGAATGTACTAGGTAGGCAACAGCTCAACATGTTCCATGAGTTATATAGGCATTGTCTTCAGCAATAATGCCTTACCATAAGTTCGTAGATGGCAATTCATAGCCGTGGCAATAGCCTGGGATGTTGGGGGTTTCTATGTGGGCCTTTGGGCCAATCACTCAATTATATGTGACCCATTCCTGTCATTAGAACTTTTATTTGGTGGTGATAGATGTCTTGTTGGTTCTTTCTCCCCCCCCCTTTTTGGTGATCCCATTTAGATTTCTTCCATATATTTATATGTAAGAAATTTTTACTGTAGTAGATTTATGTATGACCCCTCAATTGACCCTTATTGTCATTTGAAACTTACCATATTCCTTCCCTTAACCCCCTCTTCTCTGCCCTGGCCCATTTGATCTTCCCAACCCAGTCCTTCTTACCCATTCCATTTGTAACTATTCTATTTCCCCCTTGCTAAATGATATCCTTCCATCCCACCTAGTTCCTTACTCTAAACCTAACTTCTGTGCTTATATGGATTGTTAGTCTGCTTATCAAAGACTTAACAGTCAATGTCCACATATAAATGAATATGTACTATATTTGCCTTTTTGTGTCTGAATAGACTCACTCAGAAGGACTTTCTCTGGCTTTAATCATTTGCTACATTTTTTTTGTTTGTTTGTTTTCAAGACAGGGTTTCTCTGTAGCTTTGGAACCTGTAGCTCTTGTAGATCAGGCTGGCCTCGAACTCACAGTGATCTGCCTGTCTCTGCCTCCCAAGTGCTGGAATTAAAGTTGTGCATCACCACCACCCCACTTATTTGCTACAGATTTTTAACAGCTGAGTAACATCTGATTGTATAAATAAACCACATTTTCATTTTCCAGTCATCTGTTAATGGGCTTCCAGATATTTTCCAAGTTCTGGCTATCATGAATTAAGCAACAGTAAACAAGGATGAACAAGTGTGTCCATTGTAGGTTGAAGCATCTTGTAGGTATATGCCAAGGGTGTTATACCTCAATCTTATGGTAGCTCTATTCCCAAATTCCTGATGAACTGTAATGCTGCTTTCCATAATTGCTATACCAGTTTGCATTTCCACAGCAATAGAATTGTGCTCCACTTACTCCAATGCTTGCTAATATAAGCTGTCAATTGTTTTACTGATTTTGACCATCCTAGCAGGTGTAAGATGAAATCTCAAGGTAGCTTTGGTTTGCATGTCCCTGATGACTAAGGATGTTGAACATTTCTTTCAGCCGTTTGTGTTTTATCTTTTGAGAACTCTCTGTTTAGATATATAGCTCTTTTTAAAATTGGATTATTTTTTAATGTACAGTTTTCTATGTTTTAGTTATTAGTCCCCTATCAGATGTGATTGACAGTGATCTTTTCCTTTCCTGTTTGCTGATAATTTTATGACAGTGTACATTGCCATTTAGTGTACATTTAGTGTACATTGCCATTTCTCAGTTTCAAGAAGTCCCATTTATTGTTGGTCTTAATGCCTGTGCTAATGGATCCTATTCAGAAAGACTTTTCATGGGCCAATGAATTCAACATGAGTACACATTCTATATTACCAGATTTGGGTCATTAGGCCTTTTGTGAAGATGATTTTGGATTTGAATTTTGTGCAGGGTTATGACTCCATTCATCTTCTTCTACATGTAGCTATCCAGTTTGACCAGCACCATTTTTTGAAGATGATGTCTTTTTTCCAGTGCATATATCTGGCTTCTTTATCAAAGATCAGAGGTCCATAGCTGTGTGGACTTAAGTCTGGGTCTGCAATTTCATTCATCAACATGCCTGTTTTTTGCTAATACTGTGTGTATTATTATTATTATTATTATTATTATAGTTTTGTAGGACAATTTGAGTTCAGTGATACTTCCAGTATTTTTATTATTTAGAATTATTTTAGCTATCCTGGGTTTTCTTTGTTTTCACATTAACTGAAAATTGTCCTTTCAGGTTTCTTGAAGAATTGTGTTGGAATTTTGATTGAGATTTCATTGAATCTGTAAATTGTTTTTAATGGGATGGCCATTTTTCTGTTTAATCCTGCCAATCCATGAGCATAGGAGATCTTTCCATCTTCTGTTATGTTTTCTGGTTTCTTTTCTTTAGTGTTTTAAAAAGTTTTCATCATTTAAGTCTTTCACTTGCTTAGTTAGGGTTGCCCTATGAAATATATAAATAGGCTATTGTGATAGTTATTTCCCTGATTGCTTTTTCA